CAGGCACAAAGGCACACAATGACAAAACACATTCTTACCCATTAACAGTGGCTGGAAAATACTAGCCTTTCTTGCCAAAGTTTCTGCTGTATTGCTCTTCATTCATTTACATGATTAAGGTTTCTTTCCTTTAAGAATCTTTCTATTCTCCTTTCTTGAAACTGAGTATCTCTCAGGGTCATTGCAGGGCAACATTTAATTTTAATTGCAAGTTCAACATCAATACTCAGCTCATATTTCAGCAGCTCTCAGTTTATCTCAGCTTCTTCCAAAGTGAATGATAATACATTGCTGTGCAATGAGCTCACACGCAGATGTAATCCAGAGTTGAAGATTTCATCGAGATGCTTCCCTTAAAGTTCTCCTTTATTTTTGCCTCTCCAGATCTTTCTGCCCTCTGCTGAATAGCACAGGAGGAAGCCAGCTCAGAGCACAGCCAAGCTCCAAATGGTTCTCTCTCATAACATACTTCTCAATACGAGATTAAAAGCTTCCTTCTCCCTTCTTCCCTCAAGGAAAAGGAAAATAAGTCACTTCTGTGGAAATTCCTGTGAGTGTATAGTGGGCAAAGACACTCTAAACACTAACCTGGGTTGTTGGGTTCAGAGTAAAAGGAATAGAAAATTAAAGGATGAATGCCAAAGTATTTATGACACCAGGATAAATCAGGTGGATTTCACAGAGACCAGGTGCCTCAGCATTTAAAAAAAAAAAAAAAAAATCAGCTGCAGGCCATTTGAACCAGATACCAGTACAAAGGCCTCCATCAGATAAGCACTCTGATCTCAAGCAAGCTCCCAGCTATTTGTTGACCGGCTTGGATGAGGCTGCAGGCAAAGGGGAGCACGAAAAAAAGATAGCCTCTCTCATCCACTGCTCAGCCCTTGCAGTGCAAAGGCATTGCCACTGGTGCGACACCTCCACATTACCAGAAAACAAGCGAGAGATTTCAGGTTGGGTAGGTAGGATCACAAGTCTTACAAGAAGCTGTCTTGATACACTGGCTTCGGAAGAACAGCAAGGAACAGAAGACAGGTTTGTTCCAGGCTGAAAGAAAGTCTATGTACCCATACATCATCCAATAGCTCAGGACGAGAGAGGATGCATTTGAGTTTCATCAGAAATAATACAATGAAAATATGATAAAATGTCAAGACAAGCACTGGCAGCTGCTCTTCTCCCTCGCATTGCTGGGCAACCTTTGAAAAAGAGATGGCAGAACTTCTGTTCTAGACTGGGAAAACAGAAAGAAGCACTGAAGAACATTAAAGTCTTCATATGGGACAGCTTCCCCCTGCCCCCCAAATAAACTTAGTTTGCTTACAGCTACTCAACATACAGCAGGCATTCATTTTATAAAATGAGTGTAGTGATCCATGTTATTCATAAGGCCAGACCAGAGGATTCACAAGATCCTTTCTGGTCTTAAAATATATCCAGCAAAGAACAATCTGCCATTGACTGAATACTTGAAAACTAATGACCTACTAGGCTCCTCCTCACCACCACCACCCCCTGACTTCCAGTTTATATAATTCAGTGGACAAAATCCACATTTCATGTTTTAGTTCAGGAAGTTTCAAACAAATGCCTTTACATCAACTTTTCAGATCATTAACCAAATGGAATAAATACATCCCTGTGCAACAGCAAGTGGAGAAAGAAGAGAGGAGGTCTCTGCTTGGAGCCAGCAAGTTTTGGCTTGAATGGAAAGAATCTGAGCAAGACATTTTCCATAGAGGTTCACGGAAAAACATTTCAGAGCACTGCCACACTTCAAGCCTATTGTAGCAGGAAACACTGAAGTTTCATGTGTGCACTTCCTAGCTCGTATATAAAAAGCTTATAGGCCTCCTGCCGTTCAGATAGATCACACTGCACAATGTGTATGCACACTAAAAACCTCTCCTTGAAACACCACTCAACTTCAAGAGATCTGAGAGGGAGTCCAAGTGGAAGAAAGGGTTTCCAATCCTAGCAAGCCCCTCCACCCCCTATCAAAAAGGAATCAATAAAAACAACTGAGAAAGAAATCCCTCCTGTGACTAAAAGCTTCATGTAAAACTCAATTTTAAGGGCTTCCTTCTGCTGAAAATGCAGCTTCCATATTGATCACCTCCCCACTTCATCCCTCATGGTGCAAGCTGAAAAATGCTGTCAAAGTCCAAGCCTTCCAAGTAGGGAGGAGACTGGAATTCCTTCTATTTTTCAAAGTTGTACTGCTTTATTATATCCCCCCTGCAACAGTCAGAGTTAAAATGCCTTTCTATTACACTTTGAGAACCCCAAAAGTCAGGAAAACTGTTAATGAGTCAATTGCACTACCAGGGCCAAACACACTCATAAGCTACTTATAATACCTGTTTAACTTGGGATTTAGCACAGCAGTGCTCCCCAGCTTTTACAGTTACCTGGAGAGCTGTGTGCCCCTCTGCTTTTTCTGACCCTTTCCTGTTAGTATCTTCACTCCGATCTTGGGGAGTCTCTCATTCTCCCTAGAAATGACTAGCTACCTCAGCAGTTCTGCCTTTCACCACTCCCATTAGGGAAAGTCTGGCACTAGCTTCTTTTTCTGAAGAACAAGGTTGACAGCTGCCTGTACCACAGGAAACAAGAGAGGGGCGTGATATCTGAGCTGTGCTTTCATAGCTGCTCCACAACTTGGCCTTTTACCCCTGGCTCCCTGGCTCAGTCACAGTTTGCCTCAAAGACAGTACACCTCAGCAAACAAAACCAAATTAACCCACCTGTAAAACATCTTCTCTCTTGTATACCTAATTGCAAATAATTTTCCAGATAATATTGCCACAGTTAGTCCATTCTAACTGTGCTCATCACACCTTCCCATCATGCCCAGAGATGAATGCCCAGCAAGGATGCCCAAGTAACAACTGAAGGACACAAAGTTCATCCACCAGTTGAAGAAAGGAAGGTATTTGAGCCCAGATTTTGCTACATGCCAAGATTACTTTGGGAAATAACTATCTTGTAAATTGTGCCTGGAATCTCATTCCTATCTTCATTCTTTGGTAAAGAATGAAAGGCTGACAGGGCTTCAGGGCCATCCCTCCCCCTGTTCCAGCCTTGCTACTGGAATTCACGCATTCTCAGGGCACTGCTACAGGCTACCTCCCTTTCTTTGCTCCATGTGACAGAAATCCTATCTCGGTGAAGAGGCTGGGAGTAGAGTGGGACAGCAAAAAGAAGTCAAGACTGCAACATGCGCACTTCCCTCCCTTGCATAGCTCACAGGGTTCCCTCTGAACCATGGATATTAATAGCATACTGCCAAACTTTTTGGATAGGAGTTCAAAGTGACATAAGCAACGTTGGGAGACTCACCAATCACTTTTGTGCAGGAAAGCCTCCAAGTAAGAGCTTGGAGGGGAGGAGTTTGGTACAGATTTCATTCTTGCTAGTTTGTTGCATCACCCCTTTGCAAATGCTGCTCTCATACTATGTCTGACACACATACCAAGAGCAGTAAGACCACAACTATAGGCCATTAAGCCATCTTGAGAAATACAACAAATCTACAGCAATATTCAGCTGTGACAGTGCTGCTCTGAGAGGCACTTGGAACACAGGCAACTAAGATTATTTTCAGAACAGTAACTTGCCATAAAACTAAACAAAAAGCCAACCAGAAACTACCTAGAACTGAAAGAAGCATTGAGCTGAGTCAATGTCCTCTCTCTGGACAGCTTAGGTCAGGCTGCATCTTCATTAGGGTTTGTATCAAGATGATACACTTCAAAGCTTCTTACAAAGTGATGTCCTCAGTGCAAGGCTGTCCCCCTACGCTCAGCCCTTCTCCTTTTTCCAGTGTTCCTAGTATAAGGAAGTTCAGTTTTTAGAATTCACCTCAGAGAACTATTACCTTAGTTATACATGCAGCCAGAAGTCAGGCTGCTCTTGCCTAGTCACAGATGGATCTTCTAAAAACCCTACAGCCCCACTATTATAAGCAGAACAACTCACATGAAGAACAAGTGATCTGAGGAGATACCTTCTCCCAAGCTGTGCTTGTAAATAGGAATGGGGGAGTGCAGAATGTTTGAGATAAAGCAGCCACCTAGAGAGCTCCAACATAGGATACACCTTTAGTCTACACCAAGAGCTCTTCAAAAGTGCTCAAGAAGTCACCAGCTTGGTTTATCTAATCATGATATGAGCCACTCACTCGTAAGTGCACCACCATTATGAAAACAACTCTGTGGTACTTCCCACCCACACACCATGATAGGATGCCAGTGTTAACATGCATCTCTGATGATCCAAACCAAGCCTGTTCCTCTCTCCCTCCCCCCAACAATATACCAGGACAGGCACACTTCCCCAGAAAAATCTCAACAGGCAGGCTATGTTACAGGTGAACATGAGGGTTTCAGCAAGGATGCAAGGAACAGGATGTACTTCTGATACTGAAACTCATCCCAATTTGTGTAGCTTTGTAGTCCAGCCACAAGGGGCCTCTAAGGTCTTCCACTGGCAGGATGAGATGGGATGGCTGAAATGTTAACTATTGCCTTGACCCGATCGTTTTCTGCAATTACATCAACACGAAGGTGTGCTCAGGCAATTTAATGCTATGCTAATCGAGTCTGTTTTAGAACAGAAATCTAGTTTATATTAATGTTCTTCCAGAGCAGCCAGTACCTAACAGCAATCCATTGATAAAGCTGGCAAATGTGGCAGCAGTTATTCCATACTGAGAACCAGCTCTGAGCCTGCAAGGCCATAAAAGCTACATTAGTAAAGAAAAACCCAGGGGTTATGATTACAGACAAGTTATTAAACATCTTTCTGTAAACAAACAATAGCACAAAGGACACAAGTACCACCAAAAGAGATAAGCAAATATCTCAGCCATCATACCATCTAGACACCCATTCCATGTTCCAAGAGTATTTCCCGGAGACACCGAAACTACCGGGAGAGCGTGAAAGAACTCTCTCCCTTTCGGGCTCAGGCACAGAGCTGCCAGATTCTATACCAACCTGACATCTGGAAGTCTATCTGGATAGGGTTGGATAAGCCATTCACTGCTTCACGCCACATGCCACCACCACCTGGAGACCATGCAGTCACTACACAGCGATACAGCCCAGCATCAGAAATCTGGGTCTGATACATCCTGTAGCGGAACTCATTCTCCTGGACCTTCTCCAGAACCACACCATCCACACGAGTCTGGTCTGTCCAGTCTTCCAGCCGCACTACTGAATCCTGGTTCAAGGAGATTATGCGAGTGGTTCCATTAGGATTCGACTGATCTGTTAGTGGCTTCTCAGCTGTAATGAGGACAGAGTAGCGTGGCGTCTTGATGTTTTTTGAAGACACTTTGCACGTCATTTCAAAGGTGTGGCCTGCTACAAAGAACGGCTTCAATTTCACTGCCTCCACTGTAAGCGTGTAATCTGAAGAGGGAAGGAAATAAGCAGCAAGAGAAGGGTTAATAAACAGGTGCAGATATTTCTGCAGCATTTCAGCCTAGAAGATTACCAATAAGCAAAGTACGTTTTTGGGAGAGAAAAACCCCAGCACATTTATCTAGACACATATGGATACACCAGAATGCTACTCAACAGCGCACACACACCAGTACACAACGGTTTGGGTCAAGATGCAAAGATTCAAACGAACATCAAATACTGTACAGATAACGCAATACACAAGTCATAGTGTGACAGGACCTCCAGGACTTTTTTTTTTATTCAGAAGATATTAGTCAGACAAGACTCAGAGTCGCAGTTTTATACTGGATCTGGAAGAACACCCTCAGCAACAGGGTACAAGGACACTGCTGAAGTACTCCTGACTAGTGACAAAAGCTAGCCACTAACTGAATCGGCAGCACTTAGTGTAGCTTCTTTTATTTCCCTTGAAAATCCACCCTAATAGCAATCCAGACACATTCAGCTGAACTCCCAAGATCAGTTGAAATTGCATGACAAAAAAGTTGGTGGTAAGACGAGCAGTCTCCATCCCCAGCACCTCCATACATACACCTCTGTGTTGAAAGAGTTTGGTACACCTCTGCCTCCCATGTTTCCTAACAGCCCATCTGGCATCCAGAATGCCAGCAACACTTACTGCTCAGTTTCCTTTCCTTTCTTCAGCATTCTCCAAATCTGACAGTTCCTCAATCCCAAGAATCCCTTAATTACAGGGTTTGGGAAAATTATACATCTAGGAGCACAGCCCCAAGACACAAAAAATACGAGCTCACAATAAGAAACTGAGAAAACGATGAGTGACTCAAATCAGAACCAGATAAAAGGAAAGGGAGTTGCTAGTTTCCTGGCACTGTGATGAAGAGACATCCCACACACTCCGTTTCCTCCTAAGGAATGGGTGCTGGGGCAGAAAACACAACTTACAGCTACTTCTTACCAAAGTAACAGTATTGCAAGAATTCAGCCAGTCAAACTTTCTGGATTTACTGTGCTGCAGCATATTCCCCCTTCCTCCCCTTATAAGAAATTGGTGTAGACACATTTAAAAAACAAACCAAACTACACACATCACCTTTATGCAAGGTGATACTTCTGAGGAAAAGGGAAATAAACAATGGTGAGATTGTTACAAATTTCCCAAAACTGAACCAAATGCAGTAATATTTATGCCCTCCCCACAAGAGCAACAAGATACTCGTCAAGATTACATTTTGCAGTGTTTTGCCTTCGAGCAGCAGTTTTCACAATGAGTAAACACAGCCCAAAAGATGAGAAACCCAGTATGACAACTTTAAATCAGTACTCCATAAAGCAGATCACAGTACAAAGCTATATAAAGAAACAGCAGGAGCGGGAAAAGCCAAGCTGCTTCTAGTGGTCTAGCTGAGCACAGAATTACTTGATACTCCACACCAACCAGCCTCCCCCCTTTCCCCCCACACACCACCTTCCACCCGCTAAGCAAGTGGGAATACAGGAGTTGCACATTTAGGCATTCTGGGTACCATCACAACTGAAGCTGCACAGAGTCCTTCTCTGCTTCCCTTGTGTGAGAACTCATCCTGTATCTGATTCTAGACTTCGGTTCCATTTTTTCCTCATCCTGTGTCCATGAGATTCTGGTATCATCCTCTTCATAAGGTTGAGGCATTTAGGAGCCCAGCACAGACCAGCTTGCCACATTTTAGGAATCTAATAGACAATTATATTTTGCCCCAAATGCAGAAGCACAAACAGCTAGCCACACTTCTCTGCTTTCTAGGCCTTGTGCAAAGGCTCTGGGCAAAGATCCCGCCTGATGAAAACATTCTTCGTACTGTTGATCTTCATGTCAGAGTGCTGGGTCCTAGATACCAAAAAGAAAACTTGCATTTGGTCTCTCATACATGTACTTAAGACAAATACCTTGACATGATCAGAGCAGTACAGATGTAGCCAAGAAGAGATAACTCTCCCTACTATCTGGGCTCCAAATGCCTTATTTCAACTATTCCACCAGAGGCACAGGTCAGGCAGCAGTACACAGGGGAGTGTCTTGTGCCCAGTAAGGACAGAACAAACTTTGTTCCTAGACATCCTTTCTTGACTTTCCATTTGAGGGCAACAGAAAATGCTGCTTTGATGCAAATTAAAATGTTGCAAAAAATCATTTTTGCTAAAGAAAAGGAGAAAGGAGTGGTGGTAGCATGGGACAGCAGCAGAAATGCCATCTGTAGAGTTTGTGGAAGAGAACATCTGAGGCCCAGAGATGCAGCTGGAGAACAGCAGCAGATTTCAAAAGGTTAGGAATTAGGATGGTGAACATAAAACAGGGAGATATAGTCTTAAGAAAGTCCTTTCAAATGATTTTTCTACCTTTTAAAAATGCAAAATTCCTTAGGTTGGATGAATACAGAAGACAGAGGCACCTCCTCTTATGTGAGATCGTAAGAAATGCAGACCAGAATAGAGAACAGGACACAAAAACCAGCACGTATAGGTGCTGAATGTTTCTTGCTGCAAGAAAGTAAAAAAATATCAAAGGAACATTTCTGAATCTGCAATAATATTAGAGATGTATGTAGTACAGTAAAACAACAATTTTAAAAGCCCCATATCCTATCAACTAGAAAAGCCTGGATCACCAGTCTTAACAGTACGGGTCTGTGACAAAATTGTTCTCCTTCAGTAGTAGCAGATGAAATGTAATTAGCACTCCATCATCCCCCACCTAGAAAAAGCATGTAGTTGTCTCTGTGTGTAACAGTGCACATTATGGGAAAGAGAAGAAACCAAAGATTTGGTGCTTAGGTTAGAAATAACAGTAATCTGCAAGAAGAGTTAAGTGGGAAAGGAAAGTTTCTTCATGTTTCCTGTGATAACAGAAACTACTCATCAGATCTTATAGCATAGAATGGGCCAGAGAAGTAAAGAACATTTTCTTCCAAGAACCTCATCCTAAGATCTCATTTCTAACCTTCCAAGAATTGCCAAGGAGGCAATGTCTGTGTCTTGACCACTACCCTGCATGATTGCCCCTCCACACACATACCTGCAATCCCATGCAGTGTCTCACCTCCTTCTTGGAAAGCTCCATGAATGAAAAGCACAGTAAAACACACCCTGGTCGGTCATACACAGGAGGCTGCAATTGGCAGAATTTATGTTGGAAAGTGGTAGGGGAAGAGATCCTAAGTAAACCATACCCAATGCTTATAACCAGTTTGGGCTCTACTCCAAGACAGAAGGCTAGCAGCAGCAGAAATCCTAGTCAAATGACTTAAATAAAATTTGAGTAATAAACTGTACTTTGGAGCCTGGCAGTGCATGCCTCTGCCTTCCATCACTGGCCACTCCAAGTGCTTAAGCCACACTATAATTCTCTTGCTCTCTACCACAAAGTAGATGCTCAGATTCAAGAGTACTTCCTAGGTAGTGACCAAAAAGAGTTTTCACCTAATCTAAGCCAGTAAAATTTCCAGAGAAGCCTAACAGCTACAAGGGCAAGGAGATTTTAGGAAACAGCAAACAACTTTCCTGCATTCCACTGACTCCAGTCAGAAAAGCAGCACAACGGCCACGGCTAACAGAAACCTCAGAGCCCACATCTCACCAGCAGCTGCAAGTAATGTCGTCTCAATATTCCTAAAAGGCTTCTTCATCCCCCAGTGCTCTAGCTAGATTGCACGTACAGGGAATGCAACAGACATTAAGGTAATGACAGCATTGCCTTCATAGGAGAATGAGACTCTACAACACCCTGAGGTACAATTGTAGCCCCAGCAGCTCTGATACCAAGAGCTCTGAAAACACAGCAGGCACGCTAAGGCCTGCACCACGGCCTGAGAGTGTATATAAAATGCAGTGGCTCTCCCCACTGCTGCCTACACACAACTAGACCCCCCTCACTGGCCTGCTCCCCCGTCAAGCAAAGAGCATAAACACTTCACCCTCACGCAGCCACAGGCATGAGGGGCCCAGCCACCCCTGACTGGGGCTTGTACACCTAACTTAATGCACTTTCTTGTTCCAACACCCAAACTACCATGTACATCTGGCAGCTTGGTGCCATGGGTATGGGAATTTCTTTGCTCAAGATGAACTGCATGTCTGTACTATGCAGTGTCTATTATACACCTGCAATGGCAAAGACAAGTGGGTGGCAGAAATATCCCCTGTTGCCTATTCACAGGACTGTCTGAAAGATCAAGATTCCCTTACTCCCAGTTAAATGTGATGGGAGGGCCTGGGCAAGCATTAAGAACAAGTAACATTACATTAAATACAATTATTTTGTAAATTAAAGACAGAAGTATTAACAAAACCCCAAATAATAGCACCTCAGGGATCTGAAATTTCAACTAAAATATAATGTTCTCTTTTGCAAAGAATTCCACTCAGATCCAAAGTTGACAACAGTGGATTAAGAAACAAGCACTAATTCTGCATTCCACTGCAAAGAACAACTGTGTTTTAAATATAGGCAATACTCACTCAAATTAATAAATAAAATTATCTTTTAAACTATCAAACTTTTTTCTGGGTTGAAAATAATCTTCAAAGCTGGTCAAAAAAAGGTTTCTTCCATTCCTTTACCCCTTTTTACTGATAGGTATGTACTCTAAATAAGCAAAAAATAACAATATAATTGATGCTTCTCATTTTTGAGGAGAAATAAAGATGCTTTCCTTGTCACCTTGGCAGGGAAGAAGGTAGAAGAAAGAGGGGAAGAAACAAATCAGGCAGACCATGTCAAAAATAACAGTGATCTATAATAGCAATTGGCTGCATTTGCAAAGCTGAGTAAGCAGAAGAACATGCGAGCATTATTAGTCCCAACAGAACAAACTGGAAAAAGAAGATAAAAAAACCTCAAGTTACAATGGGCAAACATACAACTTATTATGCAACACACATAAAAAGGACTTTGAGGTCTTCACATGACGTTTACATTTCAAGCAAAGGCTTCCTTATTCTGAACACCCCTCTGTGCTGACTGACCCACAGACACAACATAAAACCATTTCTCCTTTCTGAAGAACTCAGAACCACCTTTTCCAAAGCGGGATTTCTCCAAAGTCCCGCAGCCCCCCTTCCACTGCTCTAAAGTACATGATGCAAGTAATGAAATAGTTGGAAGAAAAGTCTCTACGTAGGCACAAGCTATCCAAAGAAGAGGCAAATTTCTGTTCTCTCCTTAGGCAAACACGTGGGAGCCTGGCTGCTGGCTTTTATAAGCACTGGGAGCAGTTAGGGACTCAAATCACCAGAGATACTTGTCAAAACAACAGTCAGAGAGCAGAGACAGCAGCAGATTAACTCCTTCATAGTTGCTGCACTGAGTTCACAGCCGAGTCAGGAGCTCACATTGAATAGGATATGCCAGAGCAGGGACAGGGCAGGCAGAGAAAGGCATCTGGGGCTAGACTGCTGAAAGAGTGGGAGGGGGGGCACGAGGGGTGGAAAGAAAGAAGGGGAAGTCAAACCTATATATTGCCCCCCCTGCTTATATACATACAACATGCTTTTTCAGGAGGAAAATGTGTTTGTAGGGGAGCTCACTTTCACATCATAAATCCCCCAACTCCTTTGCCAACAAAATGTACTTTTCAGCATGGGGGCTATAACATTTACATTTATGTTGCAAAATTAGCAGAGTTTTTGGAATAAAACCAGAAACACTGGAATCTTCACACCTGTCACGGTTTGTTTTCCCTCAGAAATGTCAACACAGGCTGAGAGTTTTCAACTCCAGCTGGTCTCTCTAGCTTCTCCAAAGGCAATGATCCATTACGCATGCATGCACACACACACACTCCATGTTGTGGCATAACAACTGAACTAATTGTGAACAGCACTGAGCATTAATGAGACACCTCATTCCTGCTGGAGAAGCCAGCTTCAGTGAAAAAAATGACCTTTTCATGGATCACTCTTGGTCTGAGGATGAAGGAAGTACTGAGCAAGCAGGCCACCATTTCTCTCTCCACTGAAGCAGAATCACAGCAGAAGCTCTCCAATTTGCTGTTTAGGGATTATCCCTAAACAACTTTAAACTGATTTCAAACTATTCGCCTCTGAAATATAGTTTTCTGCCTGTGACTGCCTCAGCTAGACTGTTAAACAAATCTATCAGAATAAATGCAGCTTAGCTAAGCACAGATTTTTGCCAAAGACATTCCATCCTAGGTTATCTTATTCCTTCCGTCCCTATCCAACAGACCCCTCTTGGATGACCTCACACCTATGTTTAAACAGTATCTCTACAGGACATCCAGGATACATACACCCATTTTAAACCAGCACTAAGCAATTCAGGTAACTCTATTTAGCTTCTAAGAAATGCTCCCAGAGTCAGTTTAAATACTGACCAGAGCTAGTTCACTTCTGCCTAAAAAAGGCCCAGATCCAAGCAAATCACTGAATGACTTTGCTCTGGCACTCACTTATTTTTTGATACTCTGGTGCTAGTATGCCCATTAACTCCCTCAGAAGTGCCTTCCAAACACGGGCTTGTAGGACAGAGGCAAAAAAACCACAAAAAACCACACTCTCAAACTGGCAGACAGAGAGACTTAAAGTGAGTGACATTCCTCTTTTCACCTCAAGACAATCCTGTTGCTAGCAGCAAGACGCATCTTAGAGAGACCAAAATATTCCAAGTCATGAAAAGGGGCAATGACCCCAGTATCACTGCTGGATGCCACCCCTGCCACAATGACAGCCCGGCTCCTGGAAGTCTCAGCACAGTTTGATTGACGTATCTCTGCTTTGCACTTCCACTCCAAACTGTTGCATGAAACTGGTGAGTGCTGTTAAGTAGTTACTTCCCTCCACAAATAAGAGGCCTTTACACAAGGTAATAGTGTTTTTTTACATCTTCATAACACAGAACCCTATTTCCAAAGCCCATTAGCAGGCCTTCTGGCTGACAGGCCTAGACACGAGAAAACTAATCTTGGCTAACCAGGTCTTTCAGTGAATAGGTGCAAGGTTCCTACCTTGTGTAGCCCAGAAAATGCTGACAGATGCAGAAGTCACATCTTTGCTCTTTACCCAGCTGTTGTTGCGGTGCCTACTCCACGCAGAGATGACACAGAAATAATTCCCTCTGTCACCTTCTCTAGTCCACTGGATTCGTAAACTGAAGGTGTCAACAGCCTTTTTAGAGAAGATTATTTCCCCATTCTGAGTCCGCTCTCTGCTCCTTTCCCCAGGCAGCAGAGTCCAGTCTGCATCCATCGTGGCCAGGAGTTCCTCTGTCACCACATCGTCACTGCGCAGGCGCTGCCTGTAGTACCAGGAAACTGTGAAGCGCACGTTTGCTTTGGTGTCCTGTGCTTTTGTGATCCTGCAATTGAGCTCTGTGGGGTCATCTGAAAACTTGGGTGTTTTAGAAGCATTCAGAAACACCTCATAGTCTGGCTCTGCAGGAGAGGAAACCCAGAAGAAATAGGTTAAAAGCTACAATCAGAAGGGAGAAAGTGCTGGAGCTTATTAAGGGATACTGCCAACTTCCAACATCCAGTCCGTGAAAGCACCTGAGCTAGAAGCCAAGTGCCAGAATATGCATTTTTCTGACAGTACCTGGGGACTGGGAACTTGGACTCCATCCAGCTCTCAGACTTGCACCAGTCTGACACAAATACCCCTAGGCCTGCATTTTCAAGTGAGACCTTTAATTTCATGTCTAGCCAGACCATTTCAGAAAAAACAGGAATAAGAGATCTGGTCAAGCAAAATCATTCCCTCTTTAGGCCTGGCCCCAAGAACCCACTATGTGGGTTCAGTTTCAGCCCAGCCAGTCACTTTTGCACCTGTTCAAATGCCTTGGGCACCCTGCAGCAACAGGAGACTGGTTATTCTGGAGCTTTGTGGACTGACCAGAGATGCCCCATGTCCCCAGTTTCTCTCCAGGATAAGAGGCCATTTCCCGTCCTGAAACTCCTTGTTTCCGCACTTAACCATCCCATCATGCCTCTACAATATGGTTTAAGAATGTTAAAAAAAAAAAACAACCCCAAAACCCAAACACCTCACCCACCCACACACCAAAACCAGGGGCATAGGTTGGCACTGGCCACAGGCAGCACCAATACCAGCACACAGCAACTTTCAGTGGGCAGGGTAATAAATACTAAGTAGGTTAAGAGTCAAAAATGTGTAAATCAGAAGAGCTTGATAGTCTAAACGGAGAAGTACATCCTGTACAGCTATGAGGCTGTAATACCTCAAGCTAGGAAAGGAGTGCCTGAAATTCATGGGCTAAGAATGGTGCTGTTGTGTTTAAATCTGAAATAGCTGGCTGTCCAAAGCCTGAACTTGATAAGGCAGCCACATGACTACTTGCTCTCAGACTAGAGAGATAGTAAAGGAAAAAGATTACAGCAAGAACCTCACACCACAAAGGAAATACATATTTATTTATTAGTGTTAGAATATTCTGCTGTTGTGCTGTGTACTATAATTCAGAAAAAAGACTAGCTTTCCAACTGTTCGGCCAATACTCACCAACATGGCTTTTATAATGTAAGTTTATTCAGCGCTGTTTATTTCTTGCTTTATGTTATATTTGGCATTTTGCCCTCCTAGAAACAATTAACTGAAGCTGTAATTGGGACAGAGAAGGCATTCCAAAGCTAAAACTTAGGCTTAGCTCACCAATAAGCCAAGATAATAAAGCATCTTAATAGAACTGCCGCGCAAACTGTGCATGCACATGCATTTTTGGACTTCAGATGCAAAGGATAAAACCAATTCTATCAAACAAGCTAGCTGCTGCTATGTCAGCTTGCAGAAAAGATCTCTCACCATTAAGTGTTATGCATGCAGTGTCCTTGCATCTAGCAAGAACAAGGGCATTAATACACACCAGACACTAGAGTATCAAGTGATACTGATGGTGAGTTTCTACAGTGTTAGGTAACACACAAGAAAAAAAGTACTGTTTACTTAAGCCTGTAGTACCTACCACCAGTGAACGTTAGTGTAGATTTCCGCCCATTTTCAGTATAAGGCAAAATAGAAAGCAAATGCACAGAATTCCTCTGCTACAACCAAGGCATAGATTATTAACGGTAGCCAAAACCCACTTTTGGTGTAAGCCCCCACAGATCCTACAGCTACACTACTCTTCCTGTCTCATTCACAAAAGATTAGTCTTCTCCAGGGCCTCATGCTCTGCAATTTTCTTATAATTCCCCCTCGCCTTCCCTTCCCCCCTCAAAAAGGCAGCATTCAAGACCAATTAATATTTTCACAACAACAAAGACTAGGAAAGCAGAAACTCTTCTCACAAGAAGAACACAAGAAGGAAAAAGCTGCAAGAAACTTCAGTTCTTAGAAAATCACTTCATGTTTGTTTTATTTGCAGGCAGGGGAAGGACTGCTAAGAAGAGTGTTTTGGCTCCGACAGCACCACTCCAGATAGGCTCTTCACCCTGACAGACACTCAAACAGAGGATTTAGAAAGAATAAAAGGCTGGCTGGATAAACCTCATTCCTCCACTCTGTCAGCTGTCAAAGAACAGCCTCACTGACAGTTCAATGACTTAATACCCCAGCAGCTCTTAACTTCCATTAAGGAGGAGGAGTTGGCAAATTCTGGATGCAGTTGAAAACCTCAAATGCTGAAAATTTATTCTACTTTCCCTTGCCCTAGCAACCAAGCATCTACTGAAGAGCAGATTTTATTCTATCCTGTTCCCAAATAGTGCCAAATTGGAATGGAAAGAGTAAGGATTAGTCCTACAGGTGTGGGCACTACAAGAGTATGCAAGCATGCAGTGCACCTGGGCACACATGAGCATGTGTGCACGCATGCACATGCACACCCGTGGGGGAAGGAGGAAACACTCAACTGAATGTGCAATCTGAATGGCTGAATCAGGAAATCAAGACATTCATCACTTGTGCACTTCTAGCACACATTCATTACAAGTAAACTTGGAAACGGCCACGGCTCAACTGCTCTGTACAATGCTAAAAAGCAACATTTAAAGTCATTGTCACTGGGATTTAACCTTGTGACACAGCTATTTATTTCTGAAAACGAGGCTTCGGAGCAGGCTCTCTATATGCTGGCCTCATTCAGTACTTTTATGTTGGAACAGCTCTGCCTTTGTAACTGGACAGTACCACACATTTCTGATAACAAGAGGCTCTAACAGGTACATTGAGAGGGTTTAGGCCTGGATGCTTGCATCCAGTCAAAACTGCAAACAAACACCAAGTACTACAGCTCAGCCAGTTCTCCCCAAGCTCACATCTAGGTTATTTCTTGTGGTGGAAGCATGAAAGACTTTGTGAATTTTAGCAGGTGCAGATGCCTTACCTACAGCATCGTCCAACACCATCCTGAGTTTCACTGTTTCTAAATTGAAGTTATTCTCTCCCCAAGATTAAACTAGGAGACAGGATGAGTAGGCTGACGTATCTTGACCTATCCCTAAAACGACAGGCTTTTTAGAAGTTTCGGTGGAGTTTCATTTTTAATATTTCTCCAAAGTAACTTTACTTCTAAGAATATTTGCATAAAGAGATATCTCCAAAGCTTAAGAGTTCAGCTTGGATAATGCAAAGCAAAAGCTTTACAAAGTGCAGCATGCATATGAGACAGCGGATCAGTGGATCTCCAAAACAGATTTGTCTTGGGAAAGGAGTGTTTTTTACTGTCAGCCTGCTCTTGTAGGCCAGGTAGATCAGATAAGCCTGTTGAGTCTCTTAACTACAGCTTCTGTTCCTCATTCAGTCAACAAGTCTTAAATGAATAAGTGGTAAACACAGCTGCTTCTAACCAGCCCTTTGCAAAAAAATGTGGACATGGATGGTATTAGAACAGTAAGAAGGGAAAACCATCAAGAACAACTGGGGCATAAAGGAAGAAGAGAGAATAAAGAGATGATCAAGTTTCTGTTTAAGTAGATTTTTTTCCCCCAGCTTGTGAATTAAAACC